TCCTCTTTTTCTCTCTCTCTCCATTCAGTATGAATACTCTCCTAGGAGCCATACAAGAAAAAAGTGTTTGAGGAAAAAAAATAAGTCAAATTCTTCTTAATAGGAGAAAAAGTTCCCAACAACAGCCAGACTTTTTTTCCTTTGTAAGGCAACATCAGTTGCGTTTTTTGCAGAGATGACCTTTTTCAGGTTTTAGGTGTTATATCTTTTAAAAATTGAACTTTTTTAAAAAAAATCAACCAGCCCCTTAAAAATGATCTGCAAAGAGTGGGAATTAGATTTTCGATTAAAACCTTATCCCATCTCGAAGGATTACTTTATATTGATTCTTAAATATGGCTACAATTGATGGGCTCTAATTAAAAATCCAAAGGAAAAGTCTGTCGTGCCTATATAAAAGAAGCTTTTTATATACGGGAAATAAAGCTTGTAAAAGGTTACAAATAAAAGATTAGAGATTTATCCAAACTAGTTTAAAGCTTCACTGCGGTTTTCTTTTCTTCTTTTTTTCCTTTCTTACAAAACCATTCCCAGGTCTTTTTTCCCCTAGTTTTAAATGAAGTTTGCAAACAGGCAAGATATTGGACTGTAATGGTTGTTTTATATCCGCTCTGTAAGCTCAAGGCTGCTGCCTGCAGTAGAATTGATTTCAAGGAAACTTCAGAACCAGTAGATGAAAATTATATAAACTGACAGCTACCACCCTTCATCAATCCATCCATATTCCCGTCCACACCACACCCACACTCACACCCACACCCCTTATACTGCTCTCTGTCTCTCATTCTCACACATGCCCTTTCTATCTCCCACCCTAACCTTGCTCTGCACACACCCTTGGTCCCCACACGCTCAGGGACAGACACATAGCTCCCAGCTCTCACTCAGCTCATAAATGTCTCACAGCCCCACATCCCGCACTTGTCACAGAATCTTAATCCGTTTCATTCCGGAACAACATGGTCTTCTTTTCCTCTTTTTTGCATTTGGAATTTGCCTCCTACTCTTTTATCAAGACAGCACAATCCTATCTTTGAAGTTGTTTCTTTCCCTCTTGCCCGCTTTTCTAAGGCAACTGAAATGCAAGGAGTAAGCAACCCCCAAGCTTAATTCATAAGTGATCTGTTGCCTGCTATTTTCCCCCAAATTCTGCCTGCGTTGTCAATCTTTAACCTTCGTTAAAAAATTAATTAAAGTTAATCTTGTCAAAGTTTTTAATAAAGACGTATCTTAAAACCTAAGGAAAAATGATTTTTTCTAAACATCGTGGCAGTTCTAAGGCAAGATGTGGTTTCCACTGTCCACTGAATCGCCGAAAAGATTGTAAATTAATCTTCATATTTCAGAAGTAAGTGTTCAGGGAGTCTAACTGGCTCCTGTCCCCCCGAGAGGCTGTGTTCTCACGGAATATGGGTTTTCTTCTTTTTTTTAATTAGCCTGGAAGAATCCTGAGATCTCTCTCCTTTCTCCTCCCACTCCTCCACTCTCCCCCATACCACCATAGTTAATAAACTTAGAGGAAAGTTTGGAATATTTTAAACTGGCCTGGCATGTGTGGTGGAGAAAGTAAGCCCAGTGAGCATCAGACATGAATCTAGATTTGAAAATATGCATATCAGCCATATTTTGGAAACTGCATGCAAACTCTGACAAATAATTTGATTCCCTGCGTATTGGTTTTCTTAATTTAGCTTCTGAGTACTTATATCTCATATTCATAGCAAGATAATTGAACTTGTGGCAATTAAAAACTATCTGCTTGTTAATAAAAGTTATTTAAAAACACAAAGCAAGCTACCATATGTCAGATTCATTAAAAAAAAAATTTAAAGACATAAGACACAGAAAAAAAAGTTAAACATGAACAGAGAAAATACAATGACTACATAGTAAGTAAACTGGAAGTTCAAGGACTTACTGAAAATCAAGAGTTAGACTTTTCATCCAAAGAGTCTTTTTCTCCCACCAAGCATCTAAGGTTTTCAGTACAACAGCCCAGGTCCCCTCCCTCCCCGCAAAGCCAGTGGCTTTTGTCCTGACCTAGAGTAAGGTTTGTGGAGACTGTACCTGAGCCGGGCTGTCTGCAATTTCCAAATTGACAAGAAGAGACTGGAAGATAAAGAGCATGTTCTTACAGGTGAAGAGCAATTTTGCAACTTTTCCAGGAGACACCCAGGAGAAAGCTTGCTTGCTAGCAACTGCTGCAGAGTCTGGGCAGAATTCCTCTAGAAAGAAAAAGAAAGTCTTTTTTTTTTTTTTTTTCCTGTCTGCCTCTCTCTGTCTCTAGTTCTCTTTCTCCTCTCTGTCTCTCAGATCCAATCTTTTAAGAGCTTCAGCACATTGCTAAGCTAAAGGGAAATTCTCTTTGATAAAGCAGTGTTTCCAGCTTCTGGGTTTTAAAACCTAAATCTATATTCAAATCTGGCTGAAGGTGTGTTCTGGGATTTATGAAAGCCTCTTAAAGGGGTAAATTTACCAAACCGTGACAAAATCATCACAATCTTACTTTAGACATCTGAAGTGGATGAGAATTTTAAAGAGACCCTTGTTTATTTAACACTGTCCATTTCCAACTCGTGGTTTATTGGCCCCGCATTTCTGCAAAGTTATTAGACTAGAGGGCAAAGGAGAAGCGGAAGCTGTCTGCTCCGAGCCGCAGCAAAGGAAAAAGCCCTCCCACGCCCCACTGCGCCAAAATCTGCCCATGTCCAACAGAACTGGGGAATTTTCAGGGAGATGCTGCTGCCTCTGCCATCTGAGAAGACGTAGAAAACCTCTACATCGGGCTTGATGTCGGGTTTCCCACTACAATGGACCCCAGAGCAGATAGAGCTCCCAATCTAAAATTTTTCACTTACTTCGTGGAGATCACAAGCGCGTGTTCTGATATTTCTCCACCCCTCCCCACCCCCACTGTCCCCAAGGCCTCCCTCCGACCCTTCCCCTCCGCCAGACCATCAACGTCCATTTTTCTTTTTCGTTCTTTGATGCTTTAAATATCATTGTGATTAAACTGGGAAAAACATAGTCTTTTCTCGGGATAGTAAGGAGGCTCTGGCTCGGGATCAGGGTGGATTTGCCCTTCCTTCATCGAAAGCACGGTGATTCTGGCGAAGCGCTCCCAATGAGCGCCATGCGGGTCAGACTGCCTGGGGCATTTGTCGCCCCCCCCCGCCCCCAAATTAAAGGCCTTGGGGGGTGGGCAGTCGCCAGGTGTTTCAGTACAGTGGGGGTGGGGTGAGGAAAAACAAAAGGTCTGTACTCACCCTCCCCCCAGCCCGGGTTCCCAGAAAGTCGCGACTCCTGGGAACGCGACAGCCAGCGGGTCTCTTCGGACTGGAGCGGTCGCGGAGGGCCCGGGGAGGAGCTGAGCAGACTCCGGGCCGCTGGGGGCTCGTGTGGACGCCGCGGCTCAAAGCTGCAGAGACACCTGCGAGGCTGGCCGCGGCCGCCAAGTGCCCATGCCCAGGCCAAGCCGGAGCCCAGCCGGGTGCGGAACGCTTGCCTCCTCGTGCGCACTCCCGTAATTCGTTAATTGCTGTAAATCCCAAGGACGACCGCATTTGATTACACATACAGTATCAGAACCGACAACAAAGCAACGAATTAATTACCAACTTCATTAACATAGGTCCCCAAATTAAAGGCAGCGAGCTGTTTCTTAGGGCCCACTTGCCGTCGTGGTGGTGGGTGGAAGGGGGAGTGTTTAAGAAGTGATTTTATTTTATTTTTTCCAATATTGAGAGTTCTGAGGGAAGAACTGTCTTCTGCTCTCCCACACACACACACATACACACACCCCGCCATTCACACAACCTCGGCCCGTCCACTCGTGTCCCCCTCCCCACCACCCAAATCCGTTTCTGCTTTTCTAGGGACTCAGATGTTTGAAAGCTGTTGGGTCTCTCTCTCTCTCTGTGCCAGGTGGAAGTTGGGCTGGGGTTCCCCGTCTCCAGCTCGCGTGCTCTGGTGTCGACACTCTCCAGTCTCCGGGTTCTCAGACCCGGGCTCGGGCCACGCAGGCTGCAGGCGGAGTTAGTTCCAGGCCCCGCTGCCGCAGGCGTTAGGTGGCGTTTGTTTTAATGCAGAAACTGTTTCCAAAAAGGGTTTCCCTTCCCCCCGGGTACCCTGCCAACCCCACTCTCACACCTCCGAGTCTCGACCTGGCTCCTTCTGTCTCCCCAAACCCGCCCAGGGGTTAGATTCGGGGTTCCTGTTCTTTGCAGCCTGCCTTAGGCTTCTTAAAACTCTAAAATCCCTGTACGGATCCTGGGAGCCCAGGTCTCTCGCTTTGGGGACCGGGCGATATTTATAAGGGCATAATGAGTGGTAGAGGCACAGAGTTTCTTGAATAGTTCATTCTTGGACTTGTATATACATCTTTCTCTTACCTACTCGCCCACGCCTCACTCCCAGGCCTCCTTTCTTTACCCTTCTTAGTACCCTCGGCTTGGTCGGACCGTGTTTGAGAAGGTGTAGTCATGTTTTTAAGCTTCAGTCTAACTTGGTTTCTGCGTCTGATTCACACACATTACGCTAGCACGGAATGCAAATAACCCAGTTATCTCCCACCTTCACTCACCCTTCCCCAGCCTTAAGTATCTTTACCTTCCCATCTTACATCGTATGGGTTTCCTTTCTCCCCTTCCCTAAAACAAAAACAAAACAAAAAGGGGGAGGGGTAAAAGGGAGGACAGGAAGAGGAGGAGAAGGTAAGGAGAGGCCTCCTTGTCCATCATTTTAATTATACAATTAGTTCACATACTCTGGCCCATAATGTGTATTTTAAAAGGAGCTCAGTGTCTTTCAAGAATATTCTGGTAATGTCGGAGGCCTGGATTTGTTGCCTGCTCGTCCCCCCGTGCAGCAGCGGCCTGTTTTCCTCCCCCTGTTGTGTGTTTTTATTATTTTCCCTCTGGCTTAGATGTGTCAATCATTCTCTCCCTGCCATTGGTTGGAGAGTTTGCGTCAAAAAGTTGCCAGAGAGGCGCTTTCTCAGCAAATCTCCCTGAGAGCGGAACCGACCTCAGCTCCAACTCAGCTTCCACTGTTATTAAAAATAAAAATCCTAGAGCAGCCCTCTTCACGTCTGCTTTGTATGTATCACAGAGGGGCCCAGGGCGTTTTGAACTCGAGCTACTTTCCTCATTTTCTGTTCTTTACAAGATTTTTTTTTTTCGTTGTGTTTGACTTTTTTGGAAGGGTGAAGACTGCAAGGTTGCTAACCCAATAATCTTGATTTCTTTTAGGATAGCTGACTATTTGGAATTTTGAAGGATAATTTTTTCCCCCCTAACCTCCCATGCGGCTGTAAGGTAAGTGTCCGTCTGTCTTGTCTGTCTATATCCGTATCTTAAGTGTCTCTCTGTCTACCCAGTACATCCAACAGACACACCGATGCACCTCTGCGAACGTAGACATAGTTCTCCTAAGGGCTGATGTATTTTTTTTCCTTCGTAAATTTTTGAGATGTAATAAAAAATATGATCTGGAGATGAGTGCAGGAGTGGGAGGAAGAGAGGGAGCGCGCTTCTGGGCTCGCGGCTTCCGCAAAACGTCGTGGAAACCCTGCGAGTCTAACGTAGGGTGTTTTGGAGCGGTTTTGTTTGTAGTTTTGTTTTATGTCAACGCCCATTCTGGGCTTCTCCCTGCGATCTTTGCGTTTTGGCCCTCAGCTGTGGTTGGGTCATTTGGATTGATCCCAAGGACGTTTTCGGAGTCCAAGACAAAAAGATGCGGATGCAGCGGGAGGGATGGATGGATAGATGATGATGATGATGATGATAATGATGATGATGATGACAGATGCCTCCCATGGACGGTTGGCTCGGGGGTCGTTGGTAGCCGCCAGCCGCTGCTCAAGCCCCTGCCTGTACCTAATGAACGTAAGAGGAGAGCCGAGATGGTAGTCGAAGAGGCGGGGAGCACAGTCAACTCCTGTCGGCCCCGTCTCCCTCAGCCAAGAGCAGCTCCCTCAGCTTTGCTCTCTGTTCTCGGCCTCTTCCAAAGGCCTCCGAGTCTCCTTTTTCTTTTTGGATGCCCCTTCTCTCCCGCCCCCGCAAACCCTGGGAGTGCAATAACCCCCGTAGTTGTTGTGGTCCCAGACCCGGCCACGAGGCCCAGCGAGCGTAGAAGAGTCGTTTTACAGGGTGACTTTTCCGGGGATGGTTTAGGGCTGGCCCGCGTAGCCCTCCGCGTTCACCTGGGGCGGGCAAAAGTGGCGGTGAGTGGCCCCTGCTCCACCCGAGGCCGCGGCGGGGTCCGGGACAGGAGTCCTTCCGGTGGGGAAGGCGGCCCCAGGGCTGTTCGCGGACCCGGGCCGCGGCGGGGTTGGCCTGCGCGCTCGCGTGCACCCCTCCCGGGCTCGGGAACAACCCGGCATAGTAGCCTCGGGCTGGGGTCCAGGGGTGCACTGAAGCCCAGCCTCCGCTTGCGGTCTGCCCAGGGTCCCAGCCGGCAGCCAGCTTCAGGACATGTCGTGCCGCAGTCTCCTTAGAAGTCTTCGTGTTGATGCGTTCAAGTGACTCCTGAAATCGTGGTCCGATTTCAAGATACATTTTTGAAACGCAAGTCCCCCATCAGAATTCTACCGACTTGGCTTTTTCCTCCTTTACAGACTTAAGTGGGGTGCAGGGACAGAAGGCCTGGGGTGGTGGATTATTCGGGAGGGAACAGGAAAGTGGCTCTTTGACATTCTCCCGTCCATCCTGGAGCTGCAGGGACGTTTTCCAGTCACCATAAGTTATTAGCACCAGAGAGGAGTTGGCGAGAAAACTCCTCCCCCCAAAGGAGGTAGACACCCAGACCTCTCCTCACGAGCTAACACCGGGTTTTCTCCTCGCCATAATTAATAGTCAAGGCCAACCCTTCTGGCACGTTCTTCCTCCTTCCCTCGCGGGTGGCAGCGTTGTTAGATTCCCTGAGGCCAGAAACTTTCACTCGAGTTCGCCAGAGAGAGGCCGCTGTTTTTCGCTGTGGCCACACGTCTCCTTTTTCTTCCCCTCCTCTTCCTCTGCGTTGTCTTCCCAGCCGCAGGCCAGTCGCCAGTCCGCCTAGTTTTGTTTCCTTTCCATCATGCAGAAAATTAATCAGCCCGGGCGAGAAGCAGAGCTGAGCACGGCGGCCTGTAATTAAGGGACGTGTGCCCCTCGGATTATCTCGTTAGTTTATCAAGAAAACATTTATTATAATTAATTCTCGGACGAGGTAATTATTATTGAGCGAGGACACAGCAACTGGTAGATAGGCTCCTTGGAAGAAAAAAAAAAAAAACGTGGGTGGGGGTTGGGGAGAGCGACAGATTGCGCGAATTGACCGTTAGATATAAGGCGGCGCGGGCCGGGGCGGGCAGTGGAGTCGGACCTCGGGCTGCGAGCTGCGGGGCTGCGGGGCTGCAGGGCAGGGACGCCGGACTGAGTCACTTGCGCCCGGAGGTGCGGGCGCCGACCGGCTGCGGGGACTCGCCGCGCGACCGCCGCCCCTTTCTTCTAGGTAGGAGCTCTCCAGTGGCCGCCTCGTGAGCAGTCATTTTGAGGCTTATATTTTTGAAAAGGTATTTCTTTTTCCCCTTCTGGTCTCAGCGTAGAGAGGAAGGGAGAGAGGAGTGCCTCAGGGCTTTGAAAGTTAGAAGGGCCCATGGCCTCTCTGAGTGCATACCTAGGTTGACTGTTGAGAGTTCTTCAGAGTTTCGATTTTGGAGTTTTTTCCTTCCTTTTTCTTTTAATACTGGATCTAGTAAAAAGGCGAAAATAGTCTGTCCAAGAATTTTAGCCATTTTGCAGTGGTAAGGGCAAAGGAGCTCCAAGAAGGATCTCTGTCCTGGTGCTTTCTGTTACCGCTTTTAATGTTGAAATGTGTTACTTTAATGTATGATGGGTCAGGCATTTCTAATTGGGTGAGAGCTCTGCATGTAAGAGCGAACTCTTCCATATTTATCATGTGTACATTTGATATGATACCAGTTTTTTTAATAGTAGTTCAGAACTTTCCAACATAGTGAGATTGCTTTAAACAAGAAAGAACTTCAGCGAACTTCAGCTTAGAAGCTATTTAAACAAATAAACGACTATTTTAAGGCAATATTATTTCCACAGCCTCCAAATAACTCTTGAAAAGAAAATAGAAACCATCAAGTCTCTGTTGTACGAGCAACTAAATTAGTATTATCGATGAGATAATACAAACTCCAGGAAGGGCATTTATAAAATTATATTAAATTAGATCTGACAGTGGAAAAGCATGATTTTTGTGCTATGAATTTAAATCAGGAAGAAGTTGCAGTAACCTAGTTCCATTTGTGGAACTTTGTGTTTTTATTTCTTAAGCAATGTAAATATAAAAACCCAGAGTCCTTAAAACCCAGTAGGACCTTTGTGAAAGTAAGAAGGGACCTCTCCTAATCTTATATCCGCCATTTTGAAGCAAACTCTCAGAGTATCAAAGTTGCAAAGTAGAGATCCTTGCAGGATAAGTGCCATCTTTTAGGAAAATAAAAGCCAGATTTGCCAACTGCCAGCCTATATTAATATCCATTTTGGATCACTTGGCTTGGAGGAATGAGAGAGACTCAGCCGAAGAAAGTAAATAACTTTTCTTTTTCTTGCTTTCTTTTCCCTCCCTAAGCAATTTTTCTTATAGGCCTGTAGGAAACTTGAAAGGTAGGGAGAAATTCTATTAGTTTCAAAACTTTGGGTGTTTGTGTATCTACTTTCTTCAAAACTACAATGTGCAAAGGCAGTTAGAGTTAACTGGAAACTGTTGGGGCTGCTGAGGACCCAAATGCCGGAAAATGTGCCTCCAGCAGGACCTGCAGCCTCCACACATCAAAATCAACATGGAAGCGGCTTGCACTACAAATGCGAACCTTTTCTACTTACAGATGTGGGGGCCTCATTTTCTGATTGGTGGGATTCTAACTTTATTTCAGAATTTCTAGCAAACCCCATGCCAATCTGGAAGACTTTTTTTTTTTTCACTATGTTTAAATATTTGATAGGTGTCGATTAAAAGTTAAATGCATGTTTGTTTAGCTTTATTTATACACATAAAATCAAGATTCTCCAAAACCCCAATAAATCTGTTACTTACCTCAAAATCTAATTATCCAGACTACTAATTAGGTGAAAATGATTACTGGAAATGACTTTAAATGTGGAATAATAGTGGTTGAGCAGTTTTCTCAAGTTTGTCAATTAGCAAGTTGGTATTTTAGATGTTAAATGCACTGACATTTTAGGTTTCAAGCTGTTGAAAGTGGTAAAAAGCTAAAATAATTAAAATCTGCCTTGGAAAGGCAACAGTCTGGGGAGAGGTAGATTTCTTGAATTGTTTCTTTGTTTCTCACCAATGGGCTTTGTTATCAGCATTATTTATTTAGCCAAAGAGTTCTTTGTCTCTGCAAATGGCCCCAATCAAGTTTTGTTTGAGACAATTAGCTAGTGCCAGCCAATGAGCCCTATGCAAATGTAGGGATAGGAATGCAACGTGTGCATTTGAAGGCATGGGGGTTTTGTTCTTCGTGAAGGCAGATTGTAATTGCTTTCTTCGGGTACTTTTTTTTAAGTTTAGGGTGGGGGTGGGGAAGACAGGTTTATCTGGTCTCCAGCCCCTCTAGTTTCTGAGCAGCTGGGGGTTGGGGAGGTGGGGAGGGTCTGCAACCCCTTTAAAAGCCTCTGCCTTGAGTAGCCCGGGCTCTTTTCAAGTTAGTGGTGGAACGTGGAAGAGCTACTACCTCCGAAGCAGTAAACCAGCACCTCTGCTTGTTTGTTTGCTTTGCCTTTAGTTCCACCACTCCAAACCCACCCGCCAAGGACCCTGAATCTGTCCACCCCCGGCGAAGCGAGACCTTCCAGCTGGGTCCCCCCGATTTGGGCCGACTTTGCGCTTCCTAACAACCTTAGCATGATGTCTTATCTTAAGCAACCGCCTTACGCAGTCAATGGGCTGAGTCTGACTACTTCGGGCATGGACTTGCTGCACCCCTCGGTGGGCTACCCGGGTAAGTGAGCCCTGCCGCACTCCTGCCCCGCCCTTCCCCACGCCTGCCCCGCGGGAATGTGACACCCTTTACCCCGGAGCTCCGGGGTAGGCTGTTACGCCGACCCCCGCCCCGGCTCCGGGCGAAGTCCCCACTGGGTTTTCCTTCTGAGAAGCAGCTCTGAGTCACCGGGCATTTACTGGCAGAGGAGAGGATCCGGGCTGGAGAGAAGCGAGTAGGTGGATCTACAAGGCTTGCACAAAATCACATTGCTTGTTTCTTAATTAGAATGAATAAGGGACACACATTGGAGTGGGGGAAGGAAGGTTACTGCCCTTGTCATTTTGGGGCGGGAGGCCCCTTCCCGTATCGCGAAGCCCAAGTCTTTGGAATGACCCTCTCGAGGAAGCCGGGTTTCTCTTCACAACTTCTCCCCGCCAGCCTGGGGCTTCCCCTCTGACCTCCAGGCCCTTATGCGCTGATGCACAGAGGTGTGACTTACCTCGGGTGCCGGGGCCTTCTTTTCCGATCAGATCTGATTTTTTAAAAATCCTCATAGAAGTATGAAATACGGCCCCATTTTAAAGATGGGTGGATAAAGGCCCTTGGAGTCCTAAATCTCAGGATCTCGAGCAGGGTTGAGATTCGCGCCATCAATCCAAGCTGCGGGTCTGGGGATCCTTTGACTTAACGGAATGGATTTTTTTTGTGTTTGTGTTGTGCTTTAGGGTTGATTTTGAAGGATTTGGGGGTTTTGTCTTTTTGTTTTATTTGTTTTGTTAGCTTTGGAAGGGACGCTCAGGCGGAGTACGGCAGGATGGGGGAGGGGGCTCCCTCACAAGGGGCAGTGTATGTCTTGGGACCTCCAGTGTGCGCTGGAGGAGCCGAGGTTGGGAGTGGGTGGAGAGAACATTGCTAGGCTCTGGGTTAAAAAAACCTGGGAGGACCAGGGGAGGGCTGCGGAGTGGGGGTGAGGGGCAATCGGATCACCCGCAGAGACCCCTATGACTGAGAAACTGCTCCCCCACCCTAAAGGGCCCTGGGCTTCTTGTCCCGCAGCCACCCCCCGGAAACAGCGCCGGGAGAGGACGACGTTCACCCGGGCGCAGCTAGACGTGCTGGAAGCGCTGTTTGCTAAGACCCGGTACCCAGACATCTTCATGCGGGAGGAGGTGGCACTGAAAATCAACTTGCCTGAGTCCAGGGTGCAGGTAGGGCAGATGTAGAGAGATTTACCCTTCCTGACCGTGCCACCCCTCCCTCCAGCACGGTGTGTGTTCAGGACCCAGCAGAGTCCCATGTCTTTGAGATGACCAAAGGAAGGCTTGAAACTAAATGTTCCACAGGAGGCCAACAAACTCTTCTCCTAAGCCTCCTCGAGTGCCTGACTTCTTCTGGACCTCCTTTTTGTCCTCTCACCCCATCCAATCCTATAAGCAAGAGTCTTCCTACTCAGGATGCAGAGTAAGACTCCCTGTTCAGCTGCAGCAATGAAGCGCAGTCCTAGAACTCTTGGGTCCCTGGCCTACAGAGGCCCAGCCTTGGCAGATTTCATATACTGTCACATTATATTTTAATACGTCCTTTCCCCCATTCTCACCCACTTTTAAGGATGAAAGTTGCTTAGCTCCTGGTTAGTCCCAATATTTTTACAGATGAAGTAATAAATGACTTGCTCAAGGTCACTAGTCAGTTTGGTGGTAGAGCCAGGCTGTAGAAGCAGCTGGTTCTCCTACCAAAGAAATTACACAGGTGTTTTCTTTGACTTCTTACTGATTGAACAGAATTTGCTGAGCCAATGAGCAGAGAAAATAGCTGCATATAATATCCCTTGTGACACCCTCTCCTCTTCCTTTAGGCCCCCTTTACTTGATCTTAAGCTGGAAAGGGAAAGTAAAGTCCAATTTTCCCAGAATGCAAGTCCCACATAGAGTTCTCTGGAAAGAATGATTAGCACCTAAACTACACACATACCAAAGGCTCACCTTCAACATCAGCGTTAACTGCAAACCAGAAAAGAGGCTTTTTCAAAGTAAGATGGAAGAAATTTTAGCACTTGTAAGACTTGAACAGAAGTCTTCCCTAAAAGAAAATGACTGAATAGTTGGTGGTGTTGCACTCAGTCTTGGTGGTACCATTTTTACCACAGTTAAGACATCCGTGTGGAGAGCCCGTATTGAAGAGGACAACTAAGGACTTGTTGCCCAGAAAATGCTGGTAGTTTCTCTGATAAGGCCCCTCACACACCAAACACAGCCGCTTCATTACAGAATGTGAACAGTACTGGTGAAAAGAAATTTTCAAAGTTGTAGGCAGAGGCTGAAGTTGAGCCAACGAACATAGTACAGAAAACAGAATCTATGTGCTGAGAGGCACTACTCTGAAGGCACAGACTCCAGTCTCGGACTTGAGACCAGTAGAGAAGTCTGTCCTTGAGCTCAAAGCAGAGATGTACTCCATTTACCACAAAGAAGGTGTTGGCAAATAACGGCTTTCAGACCTTCCTCAGCTGGGTCACTTCTCCTTGGAGCTTTGTTTGTGAGTCTTTCTAGGAGAGACAAAAAGTAGAGTGATGGAACCAACCTCTATAGCTCCCTAGAAGATGGACTATAATCTGTTTGAATTTAGGCAGTTCTTATTGGCATGTAACAACAGAATTGTTTTACCTCCCTTGTATTTTCCTCCAAAAGACATGGACACATTCTATTCCATTGTGAGAGTATTCCAAAATGTAGCGCTGTGTGCGTGTGTGTGTGTGCGTGCGCGCGCGTGTGTTCGTTCGAGGTGAAATAACATAGGAAAGTGAGGTGGAGAATTTTTAGCCACATTATTTGGGTCATTATCTTAAATTTTATTGTGGGCTAGGAGTAAAGCAGGGTCAAGTGCTTTTAGACAGAGCCTCCTCAACTTTCTTAAAGTTCCAGGAGCATATATAAGAGTACTACATAATAGGTTTTCAGTGGCAGGAAAGATTTTCTGCTTAGCTCATCTGTCCATGTAGTACAGGTTATAATCTGGGAGCCAAGCTACTCTTGTTATTAATGAGCTGCTAAAACCACATTAAAGAAGTTTCTTTCTCTTTCAAGGTATGGTTTAAGAATCGAAGAGCTAAGTGCCGCCAACAGCAGCAGCAACAACAGAATGGAGGTCAAAACAAAGTGAGACCTGCCAAAAAGAAGACATCTCCAGCTCGGGAAGTGAGTTCAGAGAGTGGAACAAGTGGCCAATTCACTCCCCCCTCTAGCACCTCAGTCCCGGCCATTTCCAGCAGCAGTGCTCCTGTGTCTATCTGGAGCCCAGCTTCCATCTCCCCACTGTCAGATCCCTTGTCCACCTCCTCCTCCTGCATGCAGAGATCCTATCCCATGACCTATACTCAGGCTTCAGGTTATAGTCAAGGATATGCTGGCTCAACTTCCTACTTTGGGGGCATGGACTGTGGATCTTATTTGACCCCTATGCATCACCAGCTTCCTGGACCAGGGGCCACACTCAGCCCCATGGGTACCAATGCAGTTACCAGCCATCTCAATCAGTCCCCAGCTTCTCTTTCCACCCAGGGATATGGAGCCTCAAGCTTGGGTTTTAACTCAACCACTGATTGCTTGGATTATAAGGACCAAACTGCCTCCTGGAAGCTTAACTTCAATGCTGACTGCTTGGATTATAAAGATCAGACATCCTCGTGGAAATTCCAGGTTTTGTGAAGACATGTAGAACCTCTTTTTGTGGGTGATTTTTAAATATACTGGGCTGGACATTCCAGTTTTAGCCAGGCATTGGTTAAAAGAGTTAGATGGGATGATGCTCAGACTCATCTTCTGATCAATGTTCCAAGAGGCATAGAAGGAAAAATGAAGGTCCTTAGAGGGGCCCACCAACCAGCAACCTACAATGGACAAACCAATCTACTTAAGATCCCGTCATAGTTTTAGATCATTGGGTTTCCTGATTCTCAAAGTGATCAAAAAGCATTCTAGCCATGTGCAACTAAATACCACCAAAAATAAAACTAAATTGTGAAGGAAAGGAGGGAAGGACATAGCCTTCTTAAGCAGAGGTGTTCCAATGTTTTAGCCAATCCTTGGTTGAATTTTAGGAATGGACAGTGTCTCAAGCTCACTCACGTATCATGACCAACTGTTAGTTGGCACTGAATACCTTTTCAGGGCTGTGTGAATTGTGCGACTGATTGTCCTAGATGCACTACTTTATTTAAAAAAATATTGTTCATAAGGAGTCAATATGTAGTTTAAGAGACAATCAGTGTGTGTCTTATATAAATGGTACATCTGTGGTTTTTAATCTGTGCTAGACTTCAAAACTGTGATCTCCTGTTATTGTATGCAACCTTGAACTCCACCTCTGCAGGAGTTCTTCTGTGATTAAATAGGTTATAATTATAAGCAAAATTCAGAGCAACTGAGTAGTTATCTAAAAAGATTACCTTTGGCTGGAGGTGAGCTGCACTGAAACTTTACAACAAAATGTCTCTGGACGAGGAGAGTGAGAGAAGAGAAACGAAAGGACACTAATTCATCTGTAATTTACTGTTGGTAAGCCTAGCAGTAAAGAGACATTGGTCAATTGCTCTGACCCTGATGAATTTATAAACTGAGATCATTGTTGTTTATGCTTGCAGATGTTAACTGGAAAGTTATATATGCATAAACCTTCCTGGATTTGGCAGATATGTATAATTATATTAAAATGGTTCTAGCACAAGATTGGGTCCAGTTTAATTCATATCACTATGTATGAATAAGAAGCCTACATTCAGCTTCTCCTTCCCAAAACATGTTTTTCTTAGGTCAGAGAGCAAATTTTATTTTTGAATTTTCAGGGTCTAATCTAAGGATGAACTAGCTATGAATGAGTGTGGTATGTAAACTTTTTGTGACTCACCAGGATTGCTCTGAAATTGAATACAGAGAGCCTAACAATCATTAGGATCTTGCTCTCCTTGCCTTTCCCTCCCTGCCGCACACCCTAACGATCTTAGGCACTTTATTGGTATGTTTTAACATGGATCAATTTTTTTTTTTAAGCAAGAAAGGAAGAACTGTAATAGTACCACAGAGAAAATGAGAATGACAAGAATTCCCATGTTTTTATTCCCTTATTTGATCAAGGAGATTTTTTTTTTTAACTTCCAAAAAAATAAGGTAAACACGAGGGAATGTAATCAGAATCTGAAAGCAATTCAGGCAGAAATGATTTCTGAACAAAAGAGTTCCAGAAAAGTTTTAAAACCTATAATTTCAGTAGTTGAACATAAGGCACGCTGGTCAGGTTTTTTTGTTTTTCTTAAGAAAATACTGAGGGAAAAAATAGATCCCTTCTCAGTTGTACCTGCATTGTGTAAGCCAAGCACCAGAAAAGACAAATGGGCAATGATCATGGTGCTCCTCAGGTCAAAGCAATATTTAATTTCCATTTTAAGCTTAGGCTCTTAAATTTGACCAAAATTAAATGACTCTTGATTGTAACTATATAAATGAAGTTTAGCAGTTGCAACCGTTGTTTTCTGGCTAATTTTTCCATCCCTGGCTGCGCATACTCTCTTGAACCCTATACCATCTTGCCTAATAGGTAAACTTTTTATTTTACTGCTAAAGAAAATGCAATTGTTGATTGCACGATTTTCTAGTACCTACTGTAATAGTCACCCTCTGTAGTTCATTCACAACGAGGTGAAATCGGGCGGAGAGACGATTTGCGTTGTGGTTTTCCAGGTTCTGAGTCTTACCCTCCCTGCTTTTCTCACACAACAGTAAAGCAGATCCAGAATAATTTATCACACTGCCAGTTTGCAGGATGCCCCACAAAGGGTGGGGAAAGAACACCCTCTCTTTAAAAACAATGACTAACAACGGGCTACTCTGCAAATAACGCAGTTAACAGTTTCTCTCCTGATACTTTAAAAAGAAAGGAGGTCAGAAGAAGGCGCTGGGCACCCTCTGAAACGAATTTTTCCATCACCTTTGCACAATTTCAGTTGAACAGACTACGCAGTTAAGTCCCTTTGAATTGAGGGCTAAGTAGAAATGCATTCCCCCCTGACCGCAGGCAACCGAGGGAAGGAAGGGGAAGGAAAGGCGGGCAGGGAACACGCGCTGTCTTCAAGACATCCAGAGAGTTCTGATCACTCCTAGTCAAGACCGAGTTTAATAAAGTTAAGCCCAATAATAACACTTGGTGTTGAAATGACGCCACCCTTCAAAGACTTCAGGGAGCTACATCGGCTACATATTGGCAATTAATAGTGACGGGAAATGGCAAGAGAATCTTCGCTTTTTTGGGGGGGAGGGGCAGAGGAGAGGGTGGGGTAGTTTGCTTTACAAAGATCTGTTTCCCCAAACCTTTATCTTTCCCACAAAGATTCTTGGTCCTTTGTATTTCACCTTGGGAGTGTCTCTTCCCTTCCTAGATAAGAGAAATTCAATCAAGTCAATTAAGTTGCGGCTTTCGAAACCTCTGAGTTTTAGATAATGGTCAGTTTCCTCAACTTCTCTCTCACTCGGTTCCCTCTAATCTCAACTTTCCTGGGGGTGTCTCCACCCTCCGGCGCGCACAGCCTCGTTGGAAGGCGGAGGCCGGAGGAGGCCCTGGGCTGGACTGCGAGATCGTGGCGCCCAGGCGTGCACCAGGCGGCCCCGGAGAGCGGCTCATGCTCTCCGCCGAATCCACGGCGGTCTACAAGAGCTGCTTCCTACATCGTGACCGCTCGGTCGGAGTTACCGTGAAAACACTGACATCCTTGTCCGGGGGGCCGAACGCGGAAGGAGGCTCAAGTAGGCTTCCAGGCTGGTGCCGCCCTCGGCGCCCCACTCACAGCCCGCGGACCTCCCAGGGGCGCCGTTAAGGTTGTCGTCCTCCCGGTCCCCTCTCTCCCTCTGGTGGGAGCCCGAGACCTCTTCCGAGCCCAGCCCGCCTCATTCGGCCTAGTTCTCAGGCCTCGCGGGCTTCCGCCGCGCCCGGGCCCAACGCGCTTTGGGCCGCGGGAAGGTCTGCGGCGCAGCCCGGGGAGGAGCCCAGCTCCTCGGGCCCTCGAGTCAGGCTCCTGGGTCAACCACGGGCTTCAGCGCGCGTCGCCAGGTGACTTCACGGCCTGGCCGAGTTGTGCGTGCGTGCGTGCGTGCGGGTGTGTGTGTGTGTATGTGTGTGTGTGTGTGTGTGAGAGAGTCCCCTTCAAGAAACCGAGAGGCCAGCGCACTGCGCGGGAGGGAACCAAAAGCGGCACCCAAGGAGTGGACGACGAGCTGGGCCCACCCGGCCTGCAGAGGGTGGGGAAGCGAAAGCGAGCCTGGCGGGGCCCGCGCACGGCCTCTGGCTTCCCTGGTCTCCCGGGAGGAAGCGGCGCAGACGGCTGGGTCTCCTACCCGCGGTGAAGGGCGAGGCCGCCGCCGCCGCCTCAGCAGGGGCTCCCGCCGCGTCTGCGGCCTCCGGTGTCCAGGACGGACTTGGAGCCGACACAGGGTCCAGCTTGGTCTGCCTGGGGCCCCCAGAGAGTCCCCTTCAAGAAAGCCAGGTGCTTCGGCAAGTGGGTCTGGTGGAGTGATGCTTGGGCGTTCCGCCTTCCCGTGGGGGTCCTCCGCTCTGAGCTGAGGCTTTCGGGCGAAGCCTGAGGAATTCAAAGCGACCCCACGCTCAATCCTTTTCTCTTTCCCGTCTGTATTTTGTTATTTAACCGAGTGCTCTTCTTTTCTCATTTGGACCCGGGACAGCACTGAATGGCCCTGAAGGCCGGATGTTGGTTCTGGAACGGGGAAAAGGTGCCTCCGGAGTCCCCGCGAGTGCGGGCCTTTTGGATTAAGATACCCGCAGCGCAGGGATCGCAGTCGTGCTCGCCCCCATTTAACCAGAAGCGGGCGCTGGGGCGGCGAGCCCCCGCACGCACACCACGTGTTTGAACCCGCATCTAAAACCCGGGGAAAACTTCACTGTGTTGTTACCCAGACAAAGCTGTAATCCCAACCCAGGCGTGCCCGAGTTAGGTGGTGGTTTATTGCTTACAAAGACATGTTTTCATCGTGTAGAAGAGAAACACAAAGGAACCGGGCGCGAGACAGGCGCATCCCAGCATCCCACACAAATGGAAAGAGACATCGCAAAAATCAACCAAAATGGGAAGACACGGGGTCGGGTTCAGCCATGACCTCGGCCTGCTTCGTGCCTTCCTTTGAAACCTTTACGAAGGACAGATCGCTGTCTCTGCGTCTGTCTCTCCCTTTCCTTGGACAAAAGGGTCCGAGCCCGTCACGCATCTGCGTGCCGGAGATCTGCGACCAGTACCTTGAACATGTTTTTCTCTCAAGGGCCAATGGCCTGTAAGCGAAGAGTGCCTTGATAAAACCTGATCCCTTCCTTAGTCGCCCCATTTGCGCCCTTGGGTCAGCATGCTAGGAAAGATTGGGAGCCCCTGGGACTTCCCCTGGGGATAGAGAAAGCAACCCCCCAAACAGAACCCACCCACCTTCATGTTTTTCAGTATTAGGCTCTAAAACTGCACAGATTATGGGATTTGTCTCGGACAGAATTAACATTACATGTGAGACGGCAGTGCTCTGCAGTACTGAGACACATTGTATAGGACTGCTTGAAGCATCTCTTCCAAACTGCCTGTTAATAGCAACAGGAGACTTTAAAATAATACGTGTTTTTTTTTTTTTTTAACGATTAAAACAAAATTTTGGCACTATTTGGAAAGGGCAGTTTTCCTGGTAGAAGTAGTTGGAAGGAAACGGAACCCAGTGCAGGAGCTGGAGGAAGTTTCTGTATGCAGAAGTGACTAGAGAGATGAAGCAGGCATGCCTTTGAAAGGCTTTCTATGCAGCAGTCCCCAACAAGCAAGAGAGGCGCCCCCAGTTCTAAAGAGAATCAGCCAGACTTCTCCCCCAAGCAGTGTGCTTTATATTTAAAAACCAACCTGCTCTTGACTGCAAACAAACAATAAGCAAATTCAAATAAAGGAGTCCAACCAAGTCCATCCCATTTGGTCAAAGATAACGGCAGGTGCCAGAGAGTTCAGGCTATCACTAGGGGGAGGGTCAGCTTGGAGTTTTGTTTTTCTCCTAGAGGAAAAGTCAAACAGCATGAGGTCTATGACTCACTTTTATTTCTTAATCTCCCCCACCCTTTACTTTCAATTCTTAGTGTAAGGAAACAAGGTATTTTTGTGGGGGGAGGGGTGGCGGGGGGCCAAAGTTTGAATTGACTTCTGTTCCAGCACCACAAGGAAAAAAAACAGCCGTCCAAGAATCAGATGGACTCCTCTGCCTCATTCTCGGGTGTCTTTGCCTTAGTTTGCTTACTGCAGAGGAGGGAAGGGGCCTTTTGGATTAAGGATTTCTTAGTCTACTTGACATCACTAGGAGACACTTCCAGCTGAGGGCTTCTTTAAAAATAAGATGCCAGTTTCTAGCAGCTATAGGATTGCTGCTCCACCTCCCACCCCCCACCCGGCCCTGAACTGCCCTGATGGAACCAGCAATGCCGACTCTGGGAGCCACAGGAGCAGCAATTACTGCACCCTGTGGGTCTGTCTGCTCGCCCTGCATGCCAGGTTTCCGAAGTAAAGGTGAGAAAGCCCCCTTTAGAGAAAGGTTTTGGGTGGAGGGAAAGGTTCTCCCTTAGGCCCTGTGCCCCCAATCTCCCAACTGGAATCTCCAGAGGCCTTAGACTACACTGAAACCTGAAAATCACTCATCCCAGCCTCCAGTTGT